ATTTCTCAGTTACTCACATGACCTGCTTTTCCTGCAGGTTAATAGGTGGCAAGGTCCGTACACCCGGTTTGCTTGTTGAGTTACCATCACCTGAGCTGAGTGGGTCTGGAACCAGGAGCCCATTGAGGTCTCCATTGTAGGTACTGGATGCCCTTTGGCTCTCTGCATTGGAGCCTAGGGGAAGAAAAGGACACTGTGACAAGGTTGCTTTATCTGCCATGAGATTCTCCTATAGCTCCAGACCACGAAGTATTCAGAACACTTATTATGTCTAAGGGGAGGAGGTACCTTTGTTCATTCTTCATTCTTTTTTTTTTTTAAAGGTGTATTTATTTATTATGTGTACAGTGTTCGGCACCAAATCTCATTACAGATGGTTGTGAGCCACCATGTGGTTGCTGGGAATTGAACTCAGGACCTTTGGAAGAGCAGGCAGTGCTCTTAACCGCTAAGCCATCTCTCCAGCCCTCATCCTTCATTCTATAAGTATGGGTGTAGAGCAGGACCATGATACTCTTCTACCTGTGGGAGGGGTACAAGCCAGCAAAGACTTGATGGGGCAAGAGGCACAGCTCAGTGGTAGAGGTCCTTGGTTTGATCTGCAGCGCTGCATGGGCGGGGGCACGCGCGCACTCACACTTACACACACACACACACACACACACACACACACACAAAAAAAAAAAAAAAATTAGGCCAGCTAATACTTGGGCTAAGAACAGCAAAACAAACAACTCAACTTGAAGGAGGGTATAAGGACAACCAGGACATCACAGTAATTGTATTCACAACGGACAAACATGGGAAAGCTAGGTGTTGTGGCTTTAATCTCAGCACTTGGGAGGCTGAAGAAGAAAGACAATGAACTCAGGGTCACATATATAGGCTAGATATGAAGTTCAGGCCAGCCTAGACTACGTAATTAAATCCTGTCTCAAAACAAAACAGAAGGAAGTAGGAGAGATTCCTCTGTGCTGTTGCTCTTGCTCTTGCAGAGGAGCCAAGCTCCATTCTTAGCACCCACACAATGGTTCACATCTATCTGTAACTCCAATCCCATGGGGATGTGATGCCTTCTTATCTCCTTAGGCCCCAAGCACACATGTAGTACACATACATACACGCAGGCAAAACAAACATAAAATTTAAAAAAAAAAGTCTAAAGCAAAACAATAAACAATCAAACAATCCAGAAACAAAACATGGGAAGGATAGAGGGAAAAAGGGCCGCAAATGCCTCTGATATGAGGCTGGGTTGCTTAGACTTTCTCTCTGTGAAAAAAGAGCCACAAAAGCTCACTGCTCCATCTCTTTGTGAGACAGGACCTTCCTGTGTAGTTCAGACAGCCTTCCTGTTTCTTGCTTCTGCCTCCTAAGTGCTGGGATTACAAGTATATGTTAGCACACTTGGTTCTAGAAGTTTTTAAATTTTACAGTCAGCTGTAGCCAGTGGACTGACTTTCCAAGGCAACATGCAGAATAGCTGAGAATCTTTGTGAGATACCAGAACTTAAAAAATACAGTGGTAGTTTGTGGAGAAGGCGTCCTAATTCAAGGAAAGAGGGGACCTGACACACTGAATTAGTTAACAAGCCACCTTGGGCAGGTAAACCCAGAAGGAAAAGCACATGGGGAATTAGACAAAGAGGAGAGAAGCTATGGGCATGTGGTGGAGTGTGGAATCAGAAATGTTTGCAATGGCTGGTTCCTCTCCTCCTTAGGGCTGGGGATTGAGTCCTGGACATCCCATACACACTACGTGGGTTTTTGTTTTTTTTCTGGAGGTGGGGAGATAGTTCTGGGGATGGAACTCAGAGCTTTGTACATGCTAGATAATTGCTCTACCATTGATCTAGGTCTCTAATCATTTATGTATTTACTTCTTCTTTAATTGAGATTGGGCCTCAACATGTAGCCTGAGGTGGCTTTCTTTCTTTCTTTTTTTGGTTTTTTGAGACAGGGTTTCTCTGTAGCTTTGGAGACTGTCCTGGAACTCACTCTTGTAGACCAGGCTGGTCTCGAACTCAAAGAGATTCACTTGCCTCTGAGTACTGGGACTAAAGGTATGTGCCACCACCGCCCGCCTGAGGTGGCTTTCAATTAACAATTCTCCTGCCTCTGCCTCCCAGGTGCTGAGACTATAGGTGAATGCCACCATGCGTGGCTTTTGGCTAAGTTTCAAAAACTCATTAATTCAGACACCACTTTCTGAATTCTAAGCTAGTAAAGAAGGTGCTTCAAGAAAAGACCAAGTTTTCAGGGCTGGAGAGATGGCTCAGTGATTAAGAATAGACCAAGTTTTCAGTCATGAAATAATCTTTTTTTTTTGAGACAGGGTTTCTCTGTAGCTTTGGAGGCTGTCCCGGCACTAGCTCTTGTAGACCAGGCTGGTCTCAAACTCACAGAGATCTGCCTGCCTCTGCCTCCTGAGTACTGGGACTAAAGGCGTGCACACCACCTCTCGGCACGTCATGAAACAATCTTAGGCCTGGTAAGTCTTAGGTTCTTCAACGAAAGGAGACAAAAAGCTACTTGAAAAAAGAATCAGCTGGCCATGGTGGCACACACTTTTAATACCAGCACTCGGGAAGCAGAGCAGGTGGATTGTTATGAGTTTGAAGTCAGCCTGGACTACATAGCAAGTTCCAGGACATCTATGGATACACAGAGAAACCCTGAGTCAAAAAAAAAAAAAAAAATCAACAACAACAACAAAAAATCAAGTGCCAGTCCCTAAACAATGGAGTTACAGAGAAAGACCCTCTTATCTTTCTCGAGAACTAGAACCACTCTAGCTGTTCAGGGATAAGCTGACTACTCTCCCTTCCTAGCAATTTACTCTAAGGACAAACAGCAGGCCTAGTCTATACAGTTAACTATGCCAGGCTCTACCAAATCTCTATGGAGTATAATCTGCTCAGCTGATGGTGGGCATCAGAAGCACAAATTACCTCATGAGTAAAGGGAGCACACACTACAGGCATGAAGCAGAGACCCAGTGGTCTCAGGAAGCAAATGGATTATCTGTGTATCAGCTAAACCTACTGAGTGACTATTATCAGTGCCTGCTATAGTGGCCTGGGTACCCCCAGCAGGAGTAACAAGGTGTGAGAAAACAATCAGTTCTCAATTATAGCCTCTACATGTACATCACTATCACCAGTCAACTACTACAATTTTCAAACATCTAGTTTCCTTTATGCAATATGTGCTTACAATTTAAGTACCTTGAGTATTTTTTAAATTTTTTATTTTATGAGCATTGATACTTTGCCTGTATGTATGTCCTGTGAGGGTGTCAGATCCCCTGAAACTGAGGTTACAGACAGTTGTGAGCTGCCATGTGGGTGCCAAGAATTGAACCCGGGTCATCTGGAAGAGTAGCCAGTGCTCTTAACCTCTGACCCATCTCCCCAGCCTCCTTGAGTATTTTTCCTGGCATTCATTTTTCTGTCTATAGTATTTCGACCTAGCCTAAACAGTCTCCTCTCAGACCTGCCCTCTATCTCCCTCACCACCACCCCCATTCCCATCACAGTACCCAAACAATCCTCTTTTACACTAACAACAGTATACAACTTTGTCGGCTTTCTGCCCTGGAAACTCTTATCTGGCAAGAGTAGTCCCAAAAGATACTGGGAGCCCAAGTAAAGCTCAGATGAACTGGAAACATATGGGCTTACAGATGTTTGGAACTTAATCTAATCAGAGCCACAAAGTCTGTGATTTGCCTTCAATTTATCAAGAACATGGATTTGGGGTTGTCCACCTTTTGCCAGAAAATCAGTTTCAGAGCAACATCGGGCCTGGGGTCTATATTTTAGGGGGAAATGCAAGTTGCAGTGAGGGAACAGAGGATCTTCAGCATATTGCTTGACTCTAGGCCCAAAACTCGCTAAACAGACTCTGCACCAGGCCTCCGAACCATGGCGAGTAAGGGGCACAAGGCCAGTCCTCCAAACACTGGAGTTTGAAGGCAAGGAAACCAGAAGTATTTGGGTGAATTCTGAGGAGGGGCCTTATCTTTAGCCAAAATACTTAAAGACCAGGCAGAATGGTCTGGCACAGGATGCGGAGGGGTAACACCCAGGGTCTGCGCCATTCTCTGGCTATGCCCAGGGGGATCACCCATGACTCCAATCTCTGTCCTCCGCAATCAAACGGGAGGATCCAGAGCCGGTCTAAAGGGACATGTTGCACGGCGGACGGTTCAGATCTACGCCAGATGTCGGCCTCTTAGCCAAAAGCCCACCCACTCCAGCCCGGGTCACCTCCAGCGGGCCGGTCCAGCTTGAGGATGTCCCGCAGATGCTGCGTGGCGTCCTCGATGTCGATGCTCGCGCAGGAGGCCATGGGCCCAGCCGCGAAAGGCCTGTTCGTATGACGTTAGTTCCTCTACCTCCGTGCACTGTCCAATTTCGCCCAGCCACGACCCCGTAAGACAGCAGGGAATCTAGCACTGCGGAAAATCTACCCGCAGTTCGCAAACCGCCGCCCGGGATGCGTCTGTGAGCCCCGCCAACCCCACCAACCGCCTCCACTTCCGGTCCTACTGACCTTGGCTCCCGGAACCTACAAAGTGAGCAGAAGAAAGGTTCCGAGCTCTGGGAGACCAATTAGTTCCTATCCCATCTAGCCTTCTTAGGCTTTTTGTTTCAGAGTAGTCCAGCAGTGGAGAAATTCCCCAAGACTGAGAAAGAGCGAATGTGCTCATAGAGCACTGGATTGCCTAAAACCCTGCAGTCTCTGGAGTTCCAACCTAGTCCTGACTCATTCTGATGAACTCTGAATAGTACAACAGAACCAACTCTACCACCCAGGTAGTGACCTTTCAGACCTTGAAAAAGGTGAGTTAGTAGAAGTAAACAAGATCTAGACACTTGTGAGGTCATAAGGCCCAGGAAGATGGTTCCTACCATGAAAACTACTGTCATTGTTCCTGACCCCAACATCCCCTTGTCCCACATGGCAATTTTAAATTAGGAATAAAGAAACCATAGTTTACAAACACTTCTTTATTGCAGACATTTCAGGCACAGATACATGGAAGCTGTATTGCAGATTTTATACAGGGTGGATTAAGAGGCAGATGGTATCTACCTCTCCCCAACCCCTACATCCCCCAATACACAGCATCTTAGAGATCAGTCCCACTGATACCTCCTGTGTGCTGTCCTGGACTATGCTGGTGTAACCAGGCAACCTGTGGAGTATGAGGAAAGATACTCCCCCATGGTGCAAGATGGGGGGGTGGGGAAGAGGGAGCTTTCAGGTGTGCCCAACCAATCCTAGGCTGTAGCTGCTATTTTGATACCAGCTTTATATCATCCAGAGGTCTCAAGGATGAAAAGCTAGATTTGTACTAGGCAAGGCCTGTGACCATACTAAGGAGCAGGGCAGAAACTGCCCTAATACTTAAGACTTCCTGGGATTTGAAGAGCGCATAGGGTGTGTGGAAGGTAAGGAGGTGACGTGTAAATGCCCTGCAAAAGTCTGAGAGGGGAGAACTAGACTCCTTTACGATGATTTCTTCCATATTGAAGAATTTATACTCTATACTCAGCGGGGGCTGGTCGATATCCCAAGCAGGCAGTACAACATCTCTTGCTTTGCTCGGGAATGTGGGCACTCTGAATGTGATCCTGACCCTTTTGGGAATAGAGCAGGTCCATCCGGGACTTCAACCCATAGAATCTAAACATGGGAAACCATATTTATCAAGGTCTTTCTAGCAGCTACAGAATCATCTATCCTGCTACTAGACTCAGAGCAGAGGCTACAGGAGGTGTCAGACAGAACTCACTTTAGAGTCTTCAGTACAAGATAAGCTTCAGGCCAGACCTGCTTCCAGCTCTCCAGGCTTTCCAAAGACCAAGTGGGTTGGAGAGAACTCTGGCCTAGCAGGCTTGAAAGAAACTTGGTTGGGACTGTTAACTTCAGTCAATTTGCTCCTTGCAGCAGGTATTGTTAACATGAGGCAGAGATGGGAGGGTGAAATGAGAGACAATTGGTCAGAACTGTTGATGCCCAAAGAGCTATTTAACTAATTAAAACAATTTAAACTGTTAAGAAAATTTTTGTGGTTTTATTGTATCATGAGGCATTGAAACATCTGAACAAATCAATATCTGGGCGGTGAGGCAGCTGCTTTCTCCTTCACTTCTTTGGGTTACTAGAGCAACTTGTCAGTAGATTAAAAAACAAAATGAAACAAAAACAAAAACCGACAATCTTTTGCATTACTTAAGTCTTTCCAAGGCATGCGCTGGTACAACACAAACTTCTCCTGTCAGATGCAACTAGTCTAGCATCCAAACATCATGCACAACACCGTGGTGACAGAAGCGCACTGCACCTACTCCCACCTCGGCCCTGCTCATTTGTGTATGATATTTGGAGCATCTGGAGGAGTGAGATAGTATTGGGAAGAGGAGGGAGGAGGAAACAGCGTGAGGATCTGGCCAGGTGGAGGTCAGCCGAAGTTGTGCAGGGCAAGCCTGAACATGTCATTGGTGCAAACCCAAGCATCGTTGATGTTCTTTAATAGAAACATCTGGTGGAAACCCATGATGGGATCTTCATCGGCCTGTATGGAAGAAAAAATGATTCAGTAAGAGGGCTAGGAACAGGAAGAACGTTCAGTGGTAGAACAAGGCAGAGAATACAGACTCCAGGATCAGGCACCTACTCTCTTAAACCCGAATGCCAGTACAGAACAGGTACTTGTGAATGTGAACTGCCATGTGTGAAACATTGTTGATCATGCAAAAGTCAATAAATGGCTGCTCACACTGCCATGTATCATTGAAAAGGCAGCACATTTACCAGCTAACTAGGCGACAGAGCAGAAGACTTGCCTGTCTCTAAACTCGGCAATGTCTCTGGGTAGATGTGATCAAAGAATGTAAAGACTCTTGTAGCACTTATTATTTAATTTATAGTACCAAAAAACTGTAAGCAATCTTAGTGTTCAAGAGGAACTGACAGAAGAGTAAGGCTGGACTTGTAGGTAGTGCTTCTGGGTCTAATAAAGAGGCACAGACACTCTCTTTCCACACACCTATTGCCCGCCCCTCTCCACACGCATATCGGATTCAGGCTCAGCCAATTTGTCCTGCTTTAGGAAGAAGCTTTGGAAACACTATCAAACTACGAAGGAACCAGACACAGGGACACACACCTTAAAAAGACCAAGGTTGTGCTCAAAGGGTAAAGGCACTTGCCCTATAAGACTAGTGATACGAGTTGGAAGGAGAGAGAGATTTCCTCTGACCTTTACATGAGTGTTGTAGCATACACAGAATACACTCATCATGTAAACACACATAACATATGCACAATGTTGCTTTTTCACTAAATTCTTTTCTTTCCTTTTTCTTTTTTTGGTTTTTCGAGACAGGGTTTCTCTGTGTAGCTTTGGAACCTATCCTGGCACTCGCTCTAGAGACCAGGCTGGCCTCGAACTCACAGAGATCTGCCTGCTTCTGCCTCGGGAGTGCTGGGATTAAAGGTATGCGCCACCAACATCCAGCTACATTTTTTTTCTTAAAGGACAAGGAAAATACAACAAGGCAGGACTTCCTGATATTTGGTTTGCTTGGTATGTAAAATCCAGTCTGGGCCAGGAGGGGTGGTACATTCCTTTCATCTTAGCACTTAACAAGCAGAGGCAGGAGGATCTCTGTAAATTCCAGGGCTTGGTTCTACATAGCAAGACCCTGTCTCAGAGAAAGATTCAGAGTACCAGCTTGGTTGTTACCATTGAGGGCTATAAGAGAGGACTGTTTCTCAGCATCCAACTAGCAGTCTACCTAATTCTTAGGGTGATGCAAGAGTCCAAGAATTTAAAAAATTAAAAAAAAAAAGAGTCCAAGAATTTGGCAGTACAGCTTGACCTGCTCCTATAAATCGTGTCCCTTTTCCATAAAGGCTCTAGACCAGTGTTCTTCGCTAGAACTTTCTGCAACCATAGCTACTGACCACAAGCACTAGCAATGTGTCTAGCACAACTAAGGAAGTTCATTTTAATTTAATTAATTAGCACAATTTAAATTGTGTGTCTGGTTTACATGGCAAGGTCTAGGTCAGCCAGGGCTGGCCTCAAAATATATACATATATACATTCATACATGCATACTTTCGAAGATAGACAGACAGAAATAATTGTGAAGTTGAGAGTATAGCTCAGTTTGAGAAAGTACCTGCTTAGCATGTACTCAATGCCCACCACCAAGAAAAGAAGGAAGGAGAAGGCAAGAAAGGTCAATTGCACATGGCTCATGGTTATTAAACAGTGCAGGTCTCCAGATGATGGTGGTACACACCTTTAATCCCAGCACTTGGGAAGCAAAGTAAGGCAGAACTCTGTAAGTTCAAGGTCAGCCTGGCCTACAAAGTGAGTTCCAGGACAGCCAGAGCAGTTACACAGAGAAACCATGTCTTGAAAAAACAAAAAACAAACAAAACATAAAAACAGCCCAAAAACACTTGGGAGGAAGAGGCAGGAGGATCTCTGTGAGTTGGAGACCAGCCTGGTCTACAAGAGCTAGTTCCAGGACAGCCTCCAAAGCCACAGAGAAACCCTGTCTCGAAAATAAACGAACAAAAACCAGCCCCAAAATATCCAGTGATTCATGCACTCCAGGATCAAGTTTGAGACCAGACTGGAATACAGTGAGACTCTAACTCAAAATAAGTAAACCATATGGGCTGGCACAAACCTGTAACCTGAGGACTTGAGGGGTGGAGGCAGGAGGACTGGAGTTCAAGGTAATCCTAAAATACACAGAGAATGTGAGTGAGGTCAGCTTGGGCTACACGAGACCACCTCAAAAAAATCTTTTTTACTAACTAAAAAATAAGGGAAAATGTTCAAGTGGTGAGGGGTAGGATGTGGGAGTAAGAAAAAAACATGACTTTTTCATGTGGTAGCTCACACCGTAATGCTAGCTCTGGGGAGGCGAAACCAGAACTACTTTGGTGCAATATCTGAGTTTGAGGCAGCCTGATCTACAGAGTGAGTTCCAGGACAGCCAAGGCCACACAAAGAAACTATATCAAAATACCAAAAAAGGAAAAAAAGGGGAGGGAGGAGCAGGTGGTCTAGGCAATCACTCTGACAGCTTTTGTTCTGACAAGTCACTTTGGATATCCCTCAATAAACAGATCACATCCTCATATCCACAGGGAAGGCAGGAGCTTTTCCTACCCACTACTGCCCTCCGACATAGTGGCACTACTACCTTGAGCTGGCCTACAACCATGCTGATGATACAGCTATCTGGTGTAGGCTGATGGTCCTGCGCCGTGATACTATGCTGGATTTTCTGGAAGGGAAGGCTCTGCAAGAAAAAGAATGCAGGGTAGGCTGAGGTCAGAAGGGTTATGAAAGAAGCTACCAGTATCCCAATTCTGGACCTTACTTACAGACAACTTCTCCACAATGGCAGCTTTCCCCTGGAACTGCTGTCCTTCCCACGTAAGGCATGATGCGTCAATCTGAAAAGTGCATAGGAGATGTACAGTCAAGGCCTCAGCACTCTAAGGTCCTGCCTCCCCCACTCCCAAAGTCCATGCATGAGGGCCTGGGTATAATCTCTCTAACTCATAATGACAGTTTATATCATCTACGATGAATTTGGTCTCTCAATGCTAAGATGCCTTTCTTTTTTCCAAAATTTCTGAATGAGCCCTGACATTCTGGAAGAGATACGGACAACTTCTGACAGTCCAATCAGGCTCTACGTCTACTCCTGTCATTGTTAGCCTGACTAAATGCCCTTATGTGAGTGAATCTCAGTAGTCAAGAATGTGAGTAAATGATTATCCTTAAAACATCAAACGCCACGTGGTGGCGGTGCACGCCTTTAGTCCTAGAGCTTAGGAGGCAGAGGCAAGTGGATCTATGTGAGTTCGATGCCAGCCTGGTCTACAGATCAAGTGCCAGGACAGGCTCCCAAGCTACACAGAGAAACCCTGTCTCGAAAAACAAAACAAACCAACAAAAAACAACCATCAAGTAATGCCTGCCTGCCTAAAAGACTCCATGGGTTAACTATTTGATCCCCATGAGCACTCAGGTGTTCTGGGCTCCAATGAAGCTGTACGTGAGACTACCAGAAGCCATTGAAATGGTTGAAAATGTTCAACCATTGAAAATGTTCATCACTGTTTCGTCCAGATAATGAGTACTAGTACGATTGATGCTACTTTATCTGGCAGAGAGGTGCTCCTAGGACTATGTACCCTGATACAGTGCCAACCACTTGGAATGGCAAAGCCCTTCAGGATATCAAAATCCCCACTCTTGATACCCAAATTAATTTCCTAGGGTCCTATTCTGGTTGTTAAGTTGGACACTTACGTAAATTGCGCCTAGTTGGGTTCTGTCGTTATCAAATAACTGGTAGTAATGTTGAATAAAGCTGGATCCAATCTGCTCCCAAATTGGCTTGTCTCCCATCCTGGAGAGTCACCCACCTCACCAAGACCTGTAAAGACCAGCAAGACAAAGACAAGTGTTAGTACCACACAAGCATGAAGTAGCCAGCCACTGAACTTTGTCTCCCTAGCTTCCTCATGCCTGTAAATTCTCTGGTGATACCTGCTCTTTCAGGGAATGTGACAAAGCCCTGGGGAATCTCACAGGAGACCTTAACCAATCCCAATCAGTGGTAGGAACCACATTGAGCCCGGTCTTCTATGAAGCTCTAGGTTGATGTTATACAAGATGGGTGCTGAAGATGTAACCAGGACAAAGGAGCATCAGAATAGCCCTATAATGTCCAGTAAGGGGAGAAGAAGGAACTAAACACTAATCCTAGCTCCACATTTTCCTTTAATCCTC